ATCACAAAAATTTCTTCAGGAGATTACAAAGGATTGTGTCATACGTCCTCAGATTCATAAGAAATGCGCGGATGCAAAGGTCTCAGCGGCCCAGAAGTAAGGCCCTTAACCCTGAGGAGTTAGATGACTCCCTCCTGTTAATTACTCATGCAATACAATCGGCAGAATTCGCAACTGAAATAAAAGAGTTGAAAGCTGAGAAGCAAATTAGCAAACACAGCTCTCTATGCAGCCTGTCGCCGTACTTGGATGAAGAAGGTGTCCTTCGCGTAGGTGGAAGACTGGAACATTCTATGCTTCAACCGGAGGCAAAACATCCAATAATATTGCCATATAAAGGTCCATTAGTAAAATTGTTTTTTACGACGATTCATGAAGAAAACAAACATTGTGGACATCAAGCGCTGTTAAACACAATAAGACAACGATTTTGGCCAATCAGAGGGAAAATAACTGCCAGATCAACGATTCAAAGATGTATAAGGTGCACCAGAGCACGACCCCAGCTGTATCAACAAATAATGGGACAGCTGCCAGCAACAAGAGTGACTCCCGCACGGCCATTTATAAACTCTGGAGTTGACTATTGTGGGCCATTTTGGATACATAACAAAGTGAGGGGTAATCGACCAACCAAGGCTTATGTAGCTGTCTTCTGCTGCTTTGCGACAAAGGCACTTCACCTAGAACTTGTGTCTGATTTATCCACAGAAGCTTTTATTGGCGCACTTAAACGCTTCATTGCGCGGCGTGGACACTGCCAAAACATATATTGCGACAATGCTACGAACTTTGTTGGAGCCAAGAATAATTTAGCGGAGCTATCTGAAAATATATATTCGGATAAAGCACAAGAATCAATTATTTCAACCTCAAGCGCTAACGGCAATCACTTTCATTTCATCCCACCAAGAGCACCGCATTTCGGAGGTTTATGGGAAGCAGCAGTAAAGTCCGCGAAACGCCTCTTGATACGTAGCGTGGAATTGGAAACGATCATAATCGAGATAGAAGCAATCCTAAATTCCCGGCCGCTCACGCCTTTGTCAAACGATCCTGATTGTCTTGAAGCATTCACACCACGACACTTTTTAATTGGGGAGGCTTTAACTACACAAGTAGACAGCAGAGCAGAATCTGTTAAGACATCCAGCATATCTCATTGGTCTCACATATCAAGCAGCAGTTCTGGAGAAGATGGTCGGATGAATACCTCCACGAACTGCAACAACGGAACAAATGTAGGAGAAAGATGAACAATCTTCGGAAAGGTGATATGGTCATCACCAAGGAAAATAATTTACCACCGATGAAGTGGCCATTGGGAAGAATTCTCAATGTGTTCGCTGGTGACGACGGAGCTGTACGAGTTGCTGATGTGAAAACATCAACTGGAGTATACAAACGGGCCATTCAGAGGCTGGCTCCATTGTTTCCAGAGGAGCATAGTGAATTATCCACAGACCAGACAACGCAGGGTGACATCTGCTCTTCTAGGCAAGAGGAAGATGGGAAATATACCATACCGAGGAAAAGAATAAAGATCGCAAATAGCTCCATAAAGCACTCTAATAGCCATTAAGCCAGAAAAGTCATACTTGGCTACAGATGCGCAAAGAGACGAATACATACTTTTCCAACCTGAGGACATATCAAGATGCCTTAAACCAAAGAATGACGAATACATATGTAGAAATCAGCGGTCCAAACTCCGGAGGAATTTTAAGGACTGTAAGTGTCAGTTCAAATTTATGTGTTTGAACTGAATCCCACAATTTCTAGGTCCGATTTATATTAACACGGTATGCAATATAGATGGATTTAACCAAGTTTCGGAAAATGATAAAATATTGTATTCAAAAGCAAAACTATCAGTGTATAAGCGAGATAATTTAGATTTTATCCCCTTACATTCTGATTGCAAATTGATAAATCATTTTTTTATTTTTTTGAAGCAGGAACTGGTAAGGTATATGAGCTAAATTTTATGATTTTTCCACAATTTTTTTTAAAATGCCCTAGCAAGCCAAAATTCATTCGTAATTACCATATCGAAATGATTTTGATGTAATACAACTTTGAAAGAAAATCTACTTTCTGAGAATGACGAACGTAGTTTACAACATCTCAGGAAGTAATCTTCTTCGATTTTCGACTTTATATAAGAACTTATGTCCTCAGTAGATGTATCTGGTGCGAATCTCGATACAAAAACCATTTTCATGGCCAGAGCCATAGATAATGGTTGATCTTTAACTTGTAGAGATTTTGAAACTGAGTTGGAAGAAGCAACCTCAGGTGCGTTGATGGCGGTTGCCTTAGATTCTTTTTTCATTCATAATTTTCAGTCTTCCCGAAAATTTTTAAAATTTCATAAAATTTTTCTATTTTGAAATGACATAATTTATTTTTTCGTTACGTGCTCTCATTTCTTAGGGATGGCACACTTCATCGCAGTTCTGAGAGTGATTTTAATGTAACAAATAACAAAAATCTTTGTTCGCTCAGAAAATTTTGTGTAGGGAATCAGGTAGATATTTCATAATTAATGGCCGAACAACGAATATCCATGTGAACTTAGTATAGAAAGTCTCTGCATTAGTTATTCGAACGAATCCATATCAAAATGCCAATTCCAGTGAATTCCGTTGGAAAAGGAATTTAAAGCCTTCAAATTATAAATCGTGGGCGGTATGGTATGAGCGAATTTCCAAAATTTGATATAGACATATATAATTGTCTGTTAGGCGGATTCTAATCAATAGCGAATTTAAAATGACAGATTATTAAACAAATTCAAATTGTGGCTAAAATAATTAGAATACCAAACATCGGGCGATACGTGATAAAATGTTGACTTATATAGACAAAGTTATACCACAGCAGATGAATTAATTACAAAATCTAAACAACATATTTAAAATAATTCGGTGGAAAAATCCGCCTAGAATCATGAAAATACGAAATATCGGGAGGTACCATTATAGGAATACGTTAACTATATAATCAATGTTCTGCCAATGGGTTCTACCATTACAAACCAATCCCACGGCGGCTGGTTCTATGTACCGGATTGACTCGGAAGTACAATTGTCCGACCAGGGGCCGCCAACACAGCAAAGACATGTTCGTGTTCGTCCATTTTTCTGATGTGGGAGCAACATTACCCGGAATGTTTGCTCCGTATTCTCTTGGTCCGAGCCGGGATCGAGACCAACCCCGGACCATGGTTCTGCTCCGTTTGTCATAATCGCATCCACCACATATCGGTCTTGGTGAGATGCAACGGATGCATGCAGTGGGTGCATTTCCGGAATTGTTCCGGCTTAAACCGGATACAGGAGTACAACAATAGGGACTACATTGCTTTCTGCTGCGTCAATGTAGACCCCAGTGAGTCTTCATCTTCGGCGTCCTCATCGTCGTCGCAATATGAGACTCCCCCGCAATCTCCTCAACAGCAATTTACGCAGCAGTTGGCGCTACACATTGCTGTTCAATTTTCGGATAATGCGTAATTTCTCCAGTTTAATTGTGATGGTCTCCGTAAGATTAACGAAATTGTAAGCTTCATGAATCGGAAGAACATCAAGGTCGCAGCGATCCAGGAAACGAAGCTGAGTACCACCTGCAGGCTTCAAAGTTATGATGGATATAACGTACTGTGGAAGGATCGCTCCAGGGGTGGAGGCATTCCTATTGCACCACTCTGTCCAGTACAGACCTGTCTCGCCTGAGTTTGACTCTAGTGACCCGTACATGGAATGTGGTCAAGTGTGCAACCGCCGAGGTAGAGGTGCTCAACGTGTACATTCCGCCGTTAAATAGCTGTGCCCCACGTTATATGCCTAATATCAGTTCACTTCTGGCAGGCAATAACCTGGTGTTAGGGGATTTCAATGCCCATCATGAATTACGGCATTCCGTCCTAGGTAATGACCAGAGAGGCATGGCGCTGATAGCTCCACGTTTTGCACAGTGAATGAGGACGCGCCCACCAGAATAAGGGGAGACTGCCACAGTCCTCCGGAAATATCCATCGTGTCCCCATGTCTGACAAATGACGTAACTTGGCAATCAGTCATTTCTCTAGGATCACATCACCTCCCCATTATTATCGCCATGAACAGGGAACATCATCAAAGCTGCAGCCGCTCGCTATATACCTGCTGGTCGAATACCTGAAATAAGACCAAATTTCCCAGCAGGATTAGCAAACGAGCGAGATGAGCTTCGCCGTACTAACCCCAGAGTCAGGGAACTTACCAGAATACCGCCCTGAGAACTGCAACAGGGTGCCTCCTCATGACTCCTGTGGACCATTTACATGAGGAGAGGAAGGTTCTTTCCTTACGTCAGCATAATCATATGCTTTCGTTGCAGTACCTGCTTGGGTGTTATCGTGGAAGTCACCCTAACCACCATATGGTGGATAGAACTCCCCCACCCAGGCGTTTCAGGAAGGACCTGCATGATCTAGAGTGAGAGGCCTATCAAGCGGGTCTGAATAGCATTCATACTGATGCAGTCGCAGAGGTAGTTAATAATTACAGTATGAATGCAATACTCGGAGTCCACCCCCATCCATTGCAGCTGAAGAACGTCGGCAGTCAGAGAAATGGAAACCGAACGAACACAGATGTATGAGCTGCTACAACAACAACAACCATTACAAACTCTACATTACAATTTTTACATGGACCGATATACCTAATTTAGCAATGCAAAATATTATGCCCTACGTCAAATAATATGTATCTAATATTCAACAGAAAAACGGTCACTTTAAAATGAATTTAGAATTTAAAAATATTATTATTTTATAGAGTCTTCGACGAATATTTGGAGCTTTTACAAATAGAATGAAAAATTCAATATACCCATCATTCCAAAGTTAAGGGTATAGAAATCCAAATTATATAACGTAAAGCGTTTAAATAAGATGTGTTTTGTCACGTACTAAAAGTTTCTTCGAAATAGCATATTATGTAAAAACTTACCCATAGATTCTTCGTCTGCGAATTCATTTGATTTTTCTTTCCACAATTGAATTGTAGATCCGCCGGTTAAAAGTCGGGTACCTTCCAAATTCCAGGACAGGGTAATTACATGGGAATGACTAGTGAACGATCCAGTCTGAACCCATCTAAGATATCAAAAGAACAAAAAAAATAATTTCGGTTTTTACTTCGAATACATTTTAAACCAATAAATGTTGTGAATAATTGAAAAAAATTATGATTTACGTTATATTTTTTTTATTTCCTTTAGGTTCTTACCACACCACACCACAAATATTAAGTACTTGTATTAATCAAAATACGAATTGCGATGAAGAAATAAAGTGAAGATGTTAAATTTTGTTGTATGTTGTTTAAATGGAAATGCTAATGTAATCTATATATATAAAAGAAAGTTGTGTTAGTTACTACGCGTATAACTTAAGAACCGCTGGACTGATTTTAACAATTCATACAAATTTGGAATTGTCTCTTGGCCGAAAAGGATAAAATACAAAAAAACGCATAAAAATTTGAACATTTTCATTTTGACTTTTGAAATGTACAATCGTAATGTTTTATTTAGAATGATTTTTTTTTTCATTTTGACTTACTTTTTTCGAATGTACATTTGTAGTGCTTTTTATATTTTACTAGCTGGTCCGGTCCGCGTTGCCGGCCCGTAATTTTTGTCTATTATGCATATTTGTCAAAGCACGTACTTGTCGATTAAAAGTGTTATAAAATACCTGGACCCATATTTAAACCGTGGGCTTCAATATTTAAACCGTGGGCTTCAAATGTGTGGATGTGCTATACAATTCTATTAAAAAGTATATATCAATCTTATCCCCATGTAAGGGATCAAATTAATTTTTAGTATGGTAAAAATCGTAGCAAAATTTTCCAGTCAAATGAGCCGTAATTTGGAATTTACCTCATAATTGAGGGCTGAATGATTTAAGAACAGCCAAAGTTAATTACTTTTTTAAACCCATTAGCACTTCAGATTGTGCATTAGAGTCCTCAGAAATCCTCCTCCGCCAAAAGGTGGACTTGAGGGGGCAATATTACATGGAGAAAATTCTAAAATTTGTAGATATGTTGAAATTTTTGTGTAAGATTTTCACCCCCCAAATACACATTTTTAGCCAAGCCCTTTCAAATATGGTAAAATCAGGAGGTACCTTTATATGGGCACTACTAATTCAACGCGGTCACAACAAAGTGAAAATATAATTACTTTTTCAAAATCGCTAAAAAATCACGAAAAAGAGATGTTATTGCAAAAATTCTCAAATCGGGAAAAAATCGAAAAAGAATTCAATGGAATCGAATTTTAAATTAATAGTACATTCTATTGACAAACTTCGTAAAGATCCTTAAAATTTTGTTGTAAAAACTCTTCGAACAAGTTGAATGGCTTGGCGGATTTTAACAATTCATACAATTTTGGAATGGTATCCTGGTGAAAAATCGCAGTAAAATATGCCAATAAAAATGTTAATGAAAAAATCTTTTTGGTGTGATTTTTTTTCTATTTGACATACTATATTGAAGTGAATATTTTTTTATTTTGAATTCGGAATGAATAATATTAAAAATATAACGAGTGACCTACGTGGGCCTACTTCTTTCATATGACAATAATCCGTCCAATGAGAACTCAAAATGCAAGATACATTAAATCGCTTTTGCAGGTCATAGTATGGTTTACATTTTAACCATATTTTGTGTACAAAATACTTTGTACATACTTTTGAGTGCGATTGAGGCGCTGGGAAAATTTAGCAATAAAAATTAAATGTTCCAAAATTATATATTTCCCAGCCGCCATGAAATACCACATGTGAACAATTCGGTGATCTTGTGCGCTGACGCATACGATAACGCGTGATATAATAAAGGTTATGACCCACACGCACATATATCGATGCGCTCAGTAGATGCACAAGATGCACAAGTACCCCTGCAATGTTCTCCATTCAATATTAAAATAGATTAGAACAATTGTGTGGCTGCGACTAGGTTAAGTTAGATTAGTTTTAGTAGTACGTAAGAAACATATTTTAAAAATAAAATCAGAATTGAATCAACAGCCAAACCATTCGGTTGGTTTTCTTTTCTCGCTCTTTTACATTTGGTCAATCGAGACTTCACTTTTGTCAAAGTGAAACGAATTAGGGACCACAAAAAGAAAATAGTAGGAGTTTTCCCCCACCAGTGGTAAGAGACTCACTACAAGCAGAAGTAGCTATTCTTCAAAAAAGAGGAGAATAGCTACCAATAAAAATCCGTTGAGGGATAAAATTATAAAGAGCCATAAAGGCAAAATTTAAAAATATATATTAAAAATAAAGACCCACGGGGCAAATTAAAAAAAACATAACAAAAAGAGGACAACAACAGTCCCACATAAAAAATATACAATTTGGGAAAAGAGGACATCAAAGTCCCAACTGGAAAAAATAAAAAACAAATAGAAAAAAGCCAAGAAGGCAATATAAAAAAGTTTTTAAAAGAGAACAAATAGTCCCATCTAAAACCTTTAAATTTAAAAATGTACAAAGAAATGGAAGAAGATATCAGCACTTTGGCAGACTATTTCCAGTTATTAACGTCGACGTCAGCTTTTGAAAAGGTGAAACACGTCGCGGCATGGAAGGTACTGGTAGAAAAAACATATTACCAGTTACCACGGTACTTGAGGATACACACAAAAAAAATATCTTCCAACCCATATGAAGACAGTACCCTGTGATGTGGATATGTGTATGTTATCGGCAATGAAGCTTTAAGCAACCCGGAGTCGCAATTACACAGACTTGGACATCGATGAAGAAATCGAAGATTCGATGAAACCTCCATTACGATGGATACTCTCGCTGAAATGTGACTATCTAACTTGGGAAGAGCAAGTGGAAGAAAACAGACAAGTTAACTATGTCGAAACAAAGGAAGATTACGACAGAGAATTAGAAGATGGTTTGTACGAACAAATGCAAGCCTATGAAAACAATTTACAATCTCTGCAGGGACAAGCAATCGAATTTGTCGAAGTGCGACATCTGAAAATGAAGTTAGAGAAAGTCAATGAAAAAATGGCTAGATCAGAAAGAGCGCGGAAAGTCTTGGAAGCTGAGAAAAATGACTTCTCCAAACAACTATCAAGTGTAAGAAAGGGACATAATGCTGTTGAACGAAAACAGATTCCAGGCTTGGAAGGTAATTCTGGGAATTTTTCCCCGCCGGCAAGTCCTCATTGTGAGGAACGAGATGTGGAAGGAAATTCTGGAGTCGCACCCACACTGACTGATGAAAAACCACTCCAGAAGGAACATGTCAAGTTACTTCAAAATAATCGAAAAGTGGAAAAAGAAGAGAAGCCGCTGCGCACAGAAGGATCCAACATTTTCGGCGAATATGTTGATTACGACAACGATTGTAGAGGAAAAGAAAACATAGCAGAAGAGAAAAAAGAAGGAAAGCCTCTACGTACAGAAGGCCCTTTTATTTCCAACGAGTATGGAAATGAATTTATTTAGTGGGAAAAAACAAACAAATTTCTCTGGTTCCAGTTCCTGAAGGGTATTGCCTCAGCGAAATCAATAGCAAATCATTAATGGCCGTGAAAATAGAAGACGACAATGCAGAGCGTACCATGGCGCCAATGGTAATCCTTTCCGACGTGAATAATGGCGGTCTGCATCGATGGACTATTAATGCGGTATGGAGAATGAAGCCGGCAGATAAAGGTGGTGGCATTGGCAAGAAGGACTGGACAAAGAAATGGAGTCGTTTCCTGGAAGCAGTTACTTAATTGAATATTTATATTGTTTGAGCATATATAGTTAGTTTCCTTTTCATATTTTTATATTTAAATATTTTATAGTATACATTTATTCAACTTTATAAAAATACAGTCCACTATTAACATACACATTTAAGCCGCCCGGGAGAATGTACAAAATACTTTGTACATACTTTTGAGTGCGATTGAGGCGCTGGGAAAATGTAGCAATAAAAAATAAATGTTCTAAAATTATATATTTCCCAGCCGCCATAAAATACCACATGCATACGATAACGCGTGAAATAATAAAGGTTATGACCCATTAGTGTACCTTCCCAACCAATGTGTGATCAGAAAAAAAAATTTGTATTCTATTGAATTTGAACCCCCAAGAGAATATTGTTTGGGAACGTAGATGGGATGTAAACTGAGACTCATTCTGTCGGAAATTTTGGCAGAAACATGAAAAATATCACGAATATTAATTTCTTTGATCGTCAATAAATTATATTATGATGAAAAATATGGACTTTATGGGGTCTTTAACGCACAATTTAAATGACAACAAGTAAAAAAGCAGAAAGTTCGGCCGGTCCGAACTTTGAATACCCCCATCATTTGGAACGAATTTGGAAAGTTTCAAGAAATAAAATCCTTAAAAATTCCGTTAAAGTCTTAAAAATACCGAATATAGCCGTTATATTGGGGTCTATACGACGTGGACCTACATAGGCATTGTTTGTCACAAGCCATTACAATATCCAAATTGGAAACTTGAAATAAACGGTGAATAATGTAGCTAAAATCATCAAAATATCGTATATAGGAAGGTGCCGTTATATCGGAGCTGTGCGAAGACCTGGACCAGCATAGACAATTTTCTGCCACAGACTAAAGCATCCATTACGAACTTCAGATGCGACATCTCAAACAATTTCGGTGGGTATTGTACCCAAACTCGTAAAAATACCGAATATAGGGAGGTACTGATATATGGGGGCTATACGAAGTCGTGGACCTGCATAGATAATTTTCTGCCACAGACTGTAGTTCCCATTACGAACTCTAAGGACGTAATTTGAAACAATTCCGGTGAATAATGAAGCTAAAATCATCAAAATACCGTGGACCTGCACAAACAATTTTTTGTCATAGGCTGTAGTATCCATTACGAACTTCAAATACCAAATTTGAAATAATTCCGTTTAAAAAATTCGCTAAAATCATCAAAATTCCGAATATCGGGAGGTACAGTTATATGGGAGCTATATGAAAACGTGGACCCACATGGCCCATTTACAAACATAACCTGCCTACTGGAAAAATAAACATTTAGCCTTCTATCTCAATTCG